TTTCTCGGTGCCTATTTCCTACGTTATGGGCTCCCGTCAGGGTTTGGTTTTTGGGATTGAAACGCTTTAGGGATTTGGGATTTAGGCTCTATGGTGAACTCTATCGAATTGGGAAGTTAATAGTTTCTTTGGGGATTTGGGGAAAATCACGTTTTTGTTTCATTAGCAGAGGAGATTTGGGGATTTAGGCGCCATTTTTTCAGTAGCATGAAAAAGGAATGTCTTCTTCTGTCTCCAAAATGTTTACATTGGCCTTCTTAATTTAATAATTTGTCAGAATTATGGGTAAGGAATTACGTCAACAAATTAACCTTTTCTTTTCTATTTTTGAATATTAATTTTTAGTTTCAACAATTTCATAGATGAAATAAAATATAATAATTATTGCACCCTATTTTTATTTATCAAAGATTAAATTATTATTGAAAGGAGAGTCTTAGCATTTTCTTTACTGTTAAATTAAAACTACTAGCTTGATATTCACGTCTGCAAAAGAGTAATTGAAAAAATTAAAATAAATAATATGATATGAAATTATAAAATTAATTAATTAACATGATTAATAATATAGAAAATAGATATTTAAAAAATATATAATTGACAAATTCTTCACATATTAAAAAATAAAAAATAATTCAATGTTATAAATTGTACTTTATATATATATATATATATATATATATATATATATATAGTTGAGGACTAAGTAGATATTCTTACATAAAAGATGGTGAGGAACAATAATGAGAGATCCAAATATAAGAATGGTAAATTAAGATTTTATATATATTTATTTTAGAAATTCTATTAGTAACGTAACAATTATTTTCATTTGAAAAAAGTTATAATAAAAAAACTAGTATTTTGGAATGTTACATTAACAAATTTTTTTACTACACCTTCTAAGGAAAAGGTACAAAAAGCTCTAACATCTGATAAAATTATTTTCAAGAATTTATTCAGCTTACAAATTTGTTTTAGATTGTGGCATTTTCTCAAAACATAACAAACTCAAAGATAAACTTCATCTGTTTCTAATTGGACCCTGAAAACATAAAAAAAATATACTAATAATAATTCTGTCAACCCAAACCATATAGTTCGATATATGAAGATGAATGAAGAATAATGGAAGAAAGCATGCTTATTAATCTTTCATACACAAACATTTCGTAAATGAAAAATATATTTAAAACTACCGACTAAATTTTCTATTTAAATTTGTATATTATATAATTCAAGATATATTTATAGATTTAATAAATTATATTTTAAGATTATTCTTCTGAAATATACTTTTTTAAATCTAAATTTGTCTTCTATAATTGAAAAACATATTTTAAATTATATAATTTAAAATAAGTATTCAAACTATATAATTTATTACATAATTTTAAGTTGTACGTTCTCGATTTAAACTTATATTTTAGATTTTATGATTCAAAATATATTTCTAAATTATATAATTTGAAAAATATTTCTGAATTTTAAATTGAAAAATTTAGAATGTAATTTTGAATTTGTTCAATGTGAAATAGATTTTTAAATCGTATCATTCAAAATATATTTAAAAATTTTAAATATATTTTAAATTATAGAATTCAAAATATTTTTAGTTAATTTATGAACAATTTAAATTTTTTTATTGTCTAAAACTACGCGAATAGAACTGCTTTTAGAAAGAAAAAAACAGTTTTCTGTTTCAGATTGATCAAGTGAAACAGCAGCAAACATTTTTAGAATTAAAATAACACTACTATTTTTTTTTTCTAGTGAGAAACCTGTTGTTCCCTTTTAAAACTTTCGAAATACTACAAAAAATATCTACGACCCCAAAGGGTTGATTTAAATTTCTACCAGCATTATTTCTCTATCAAACTCAACTTCAAACTACACGCATTTCAACGAATATTTAATCTGCGCCTTTACATGACACTAGATTTCAACAAATGTTAGTAACAAAAAAAGGACTATTTCAACTGAATTTTTCAGGCTGTTTCAGACTCTTGTATTAAATATATGCGATTGATCGTGCAAGTCATAACAATCTCCAACTAAAGCATAGTGTTACGGGGGCACTACGCATTCCATAATACGGAGCACGAGCACGAATTTTCCCTTGTTTTTGGGGCCTCCTAAGATGATAATTAGTTTAGAAGAAGAAAACATCAAATATAAGCTATACAAGAAGAAATCAACCATTGCATTACAGATGTGAAATCAATGGGAATGTTGCTAACAGAGAACCAAGCCTGTGGGAGAGAGAAAAAATTAATAACGAATGCCCAGGTTTGCTGGAAATACTTACAAGATACAATCATACAGTTTCCAGTGAAGAGGGAAGAGGAAGATATATACATGTTGGCTGGTTAATAACAAAACTCGTGCAAACTTCTCCATTTCTGCTATGATTCACAATTGTTTAAAATAGAACAATTACTGTGAGGAAGAGAATGACATTCAGAAAAAGATGGAACAAGAACAATGGGTTCAAAATGTTACCTAACATTGCACTGCAATGCAGTCCTCTTCGTTTTGGTTATCAATGTCAGCTACTACTACTTGTGCCCACTCACTATACATGCTCCTCAAAAACTCTATACACCAGACCTGGTTTTGTCCTGTCAAATTCCTTGTCATGTTAGAGTATATACTGATTCTCAAAGCTAGTAGAGTCTATTTGACATTGCCAGTCGGGATAGGTGTAGGTAAAATCCTTTCTGATTCACATTTCTTTTTCTCATTTTCAGTTTTCTTCATTTCAAGTTCTAGCTGCTTGCAGTTTTCTTCATGGGCTTTGTTGAACATCCTGGTAAAGTTGAGCAAAGTTGACGCGACTGCAGAAAATTCAAAATAATTACAAGAATAAGCAGTATAGAAATACAAGTAGAGGCATCAATACTATTACACAAGTTGAGAGTGCACTCATTCTTCCCGTAAAAGGGTTCACAGTCAAGCCTTGCATACCGTTCCAGAATAGACTTAGAATTTGCACAAAACGAAATTATCCGTTTTAAGTTGGGAAGCTAAAAACAAAGGCAGTTATTATAAAATATTAACACTCACATATATGCAGCCAAGTGAAGAATCCATGCACTTACTTTTAGGAAGATATAATTTTAGTGAAGTACAAAGCTAACAATATAAAAATTATACACCAATCAGAAGGTGCTCACTTAAATTCGCTATCAAGAAAAGTACCATATTTCACTCACACACCTTGCTCAAATGGGCAACGAGATGGATCTTCACCAAAATAGAGAATCAATGCATCCACGTTCCTACCCTGTAAACATGCACTCTTAAAGTAAAGCATAACCTTTTTAATATTTTAAAAGATATAATATATTGTAGAAAGCCTACCACGGTTGAATATAGTGAAGCCAGTGAGCGGACTTCAGCTTCAGCAGAACCGAGGAACTCTTTCAGTTTCTGTGGTTAAAAACTAAGTTAAAGCCTGACAATGCATATAATTTATTACAGCATTTGGCGAACAAAAGAGGACTTCACAATTTTAATCTTGCACACGTTCTCCTAAAGTCATAACTTACAAACTCTCACATTAGATCACTCACAAACAGGCATGATAGCTGTAATTGCTATCTTGATAATAAGGTTGAAGTCTTTTTTTCTGCCTCTGTGATCCTAATTATATGATAGAGTCCATTTTGGTTAGATCAGGTAGGATCACGACCTTACTCGTAAAAATAGAAAGATAAGTCGAGTTAAACCCGTTTTCCCAAAAATAAAAGCCCAGCAACCTATGACATCTGAAGCCTCAGTCTCTTTTTTGTGTGCTTTCTTGTCCGGGGTGCTTATTCTGCTGTTCCTTCTTCTTATTTGATCCTGTTGGGCGCTTGTTCTGCTTTTTGTTTAAACGTGCTTCTTCTTCTTTATCTTGTAGCATTTGATGAAGAAGGAGGTTCTATTGTTTCTTTACTGGGTAATTAGTTTTGGTGCTGTTTTGGTCTCGATAGATGTCTGTTTTGGTGCTGAAAACGTCTCTACATCTAAAGACCTAGGTTCGTGTTTGACTGCTTAGGTTCAATGTCAAAAACTTGGTGTATTGTATTTTAAATTGTTTATAAGTTAGTAATTTAACACTTATTATTTTATGACTAGTTAGTTGGATATAACCTTTCAGACTGTCAATTTAAGATTGTTTGTAGAGATTAAAAATCAATTTTCAAATTTGTTATTGTCTGTGTGTATAATAATCTGTATTGATAAATCTCTTAGTGACATGAATGCAAACTCCATTGACTTTAATTAATGTAGATATATCAATTCACCAATAAGTGAAATATGTGGAAATATGAAATTTGAAGCAGTGAAAATGAATAACAGCAATTTGAAAAAGGGAAACACAACAGTCGGTGAATAAACTATACTAGAAGTAAAGGCATGATACCTTGCGGAAAGTTTCTGATATAGGCCCATCACTTTCAGCAGTTGAGAGTTCCTGTATTACTTTTTCTAATCCTTTGTTTATAGCTTGCATCTCCTCAGCCAAAAACTTCAATTGGATCTATGCAAAATTATTTAAGCCACTGTTAGTAGAATACCTATCAATATACTGAACAGAAAAATCTGAGAAGTTTAGAACCTTTGCTGCTGGCTCTAGGTCAGAAAGATCGTTGGAGAAGTCTAGGACTTCCGGCAGTTTGTCAACTAGCACCTATGGAAAATTATGATCATCTTAATATCAGAAGATGAAGAAAAGAACAATCTTTCCCCAAGTTAACATTACAAGTGACTTTATAGCACGGGAAGAAATTCAAACATTTTGTAAAACACAAAAAGGAAAACAAAAGGGAATAAATAGCAACATGTACCTTACAAAGATAGTGCATAAGAGTCAACTTTTTGTCCCGTGCCCGTGTCTCGGTTAGTTTAAGAAGGCTATCCAATCTGAATCCAATAGCAGAACCTAAAAAAAGATTGGAAAATATAAATAGGAGATTGACAAAATGAAATAAATAGCGATCAGTAAAAATCTAAAGCAAAAGTAAAAAATTTATGCAAAATGTGAATTATTTAGTTTTCAGCACATATGTCTAGAAAAGGATAATGATTGCTATCAAACTCATTCATCATGCTATAAACATTACAGATTTTCAAATGACTACATAATAACCAACTTTACTATCCTCTAATTATTTTGATTTTATTTAGAGTATGAATATTCTATCCCCCTACCATAATTAATGTTTCAGGGTGGTGCTTATGTTAGAAACCATCCTTCAGATGGAATGTTGTAGTTAAAATAGGGAGTATGTTATGTATAGGTGTTGGGTTCCTAGATAGAGGGAGAAACCCAAGAACACCATTGCAAAACACCTAAACTCACTGAAAAGATCTTGTATTATTGATTCTAGGCACCAAGAACAACAAGAATGCCTCCAAAGGACAATGTTCCCTTTACACAGGATGCCAATGATCCTGTCAACAATTCTCTAAAACGTCCAAAACATGCCCTGCCTACAAAGACCCCCCTACTATATAAAGAAAGGCTCAACCTAACAACCCAACTAACAACTAATTTTTAATTTGTTTCCTCCTCTCATACACATTATATCCTATCAAGAGGAAAAAAAAAATGTTATGTTAGGAGTTATATAACACTCTTGATTTTGTTGTTGTGATATACAAAGAAGTTTGAATTCATTTGATCCTCTTCAAACTTTCTTTGCTGAGAGTGAGTATTGTTATCAGATATTGAATTGTTTTTAACAATTTGGTATCGGATAAGCCTGCAATGATGGTGACTACAAAAGAACTAGAGACATGCATGGACACAAAGGAGAGGACGATGGTGGATTCACAAGAATTAGCAACACCATTATATTCAAACCCTCGATTTTAAGCAGAAAACATGGATTCAAATCTTGTAAGATGTTGGAAATCGGTTTGAAGATGGAGCATTTGTTGACCCATTTGCTGAACTGGCAAGACTGAAACAAGAAGGGTCTTTAATTGAATATTTGGAGAATTTTGATAACCTTTTGGCTCAGGGTGATGGTGATGATTGATTTCTGAGGAGACAGCTTCAAGTATTTTCTTTTTCTTTCAGGCTTGAGTGCAGAGTTAGAGATATTTGTTTGTGTCCATAGACCCAGGACAATTCAAGAAGCTGTGAGGTCAACAAGTTTACAAGAGGTCCTCCAAGAAATCACAAAGAAACTCAATGAGAATCAAGTGACCAACTCTGAGGTGCAATACCGATTCACGTTCATGGTCTAGAGCAAGTCAAAATAGCACAACTCCACCTATAACTACACTGCAGTAAGATCCCACAGCTGCATCAAAACAGTCAGCCTCTATTGCTATTTCAAATCTACATCGGCAAAGTTCAATTTCAAGGAAAGAGATTAGTGAACAAATTTATAAAGGATTATGTAGATTCTGTGACAAAAATGGGATAAGAATCATAGATTTAAGAGTGAGGTTTGGGGAAAATTAAATGACATTTTCTTTGCACAAGAGGGAAGTGATGAAGCTGTAAACTCAAATTCAGAAAAAGACAAGACAAAGATATGGTGGAACAAAGTCTGAAATTGGTCAATGATTCCCAAGTTCACATTTCTTTACATGCTTTACAAGGTGTATGGGTAGAAACACTTTACAATTGATAGGATTAATCAAGAAACAAAAGGTTGTATTTTGATGGATACAGCAAGTACACACAGTTTGATCAGTGAAGAATGCAACTGTTACGATCAAAAACAACTTTCATAACAGATTTTCCAGTTAAAGTAGCATTTGATAAACAACTTAGGATACAAGAAAGTGTCCTCAAGTGACATGGAAGTTCAACAATCATGTGTTCAAGGCTGCTTTTCTCGTCTTGCCATGCCAAGTAGATATCTCGAAGTAATTCTTGGCATGATATGATTTAAGGCACTAGGTGAAATTTCTTGGAGTTGTGCTAAATTAACTATGACTTTTCAGCATCAGGGAGACAGTTACATCACAAGGGGCTCAACATCACAATGACAATTTACTAGTTTCAGGAAATTTGAAGACAACACACGGTCAACCAATGCTGCTTGCTATACAAACACAACAGTTTCAACTGGATATCTTATTACAACAATTTCAGACTGTACTTCAAGAACCTACTCAATTACCTGCAAAAAGAAGGTATGATCATAAGATTATTCCAAAAAGTAATATACCTGTTTGGTTAAAGCCATACAAATACCCAAATACTCAAAACCCTGAGATTGAGAGGCGAGTTAAAGCTTTATTGTTCACGGGATTTGTCATTGAAAGTTCAAGTTGCTATGCATCACCTCTAGTTTTTGTTAAGAAAGATGGGTCGCAGATTTAATCACTGTCAAAAATAAATTTCCAATACCCTTAATTAAAGACCTGTTGGATGAAACCGGATCTAAGGAGTGGTTATAATCAAGTGAGGATGCTCAAGGAGAATATTTACAGAACAACTTTTAGAACTTCAGTATGGCGACCTCGTGTATTTAAAACTTCAACCTTACAGGCAGGATACGTTCACTAATACCTCTTTTCACAGACTAGTTGTAAGGTATTATGGCCCTTATAAAGTGTTAGATAGAATTGGAATGGTAGCCTACAGTTTAAATTTACCAGCAGGAACAAAGACTCATAATGTATTCCATGTGTCCTTATTGAAGAAATACCATGGTGACAAGCCAGTCTCAACTCAACTACCTTTAATGAATGAAGAAGCAGAAGTTGTGCCACAACCCCTGGCAGCGTTAGACAGAAGAATTAAATAGAAAAATAATAGAGTTGTGACTGAGTTTCTAATTCGATGGAAGGAGACTAATTTAGAGGATGTTGTATAGAGAGAGCTACATCAAATGCAGCTTCAATTTCCAGACTTTGATTGGAATTGTTAGCAGTTGGCCTTGAGGTCAAGTCCAGAGTAGACGGGAGGGACAATTGTTAGAGGTAAAATAGGGAGTTTGTTTTGTAAATGAAGAAACTGTAATGTTAAGGGTTATATAACACCATTGTTTTTGTTGCTGTGACATACACAGAAGTTTGAATTCATTTGTTCCTCTTCAACCTTTCTTTGTTGAGAGTGACTGTTGTTAGTACATATTGAATTTTTAACATGGAATAACCCCATTCAAATCTATAGTCGCAGGCCTAAGAATAAGAAGCAGAATTGATTGTCTAGTGATATTTCTTTTTGGGGGTATCTATTATTACTAAAGGAGGGGTATTTGGGGAATGATTGATTCTGTTAGAGGGGAATGGGGTTGGTTAAATCTTCCCTTTGTAAAAATGTTGGGATCATTCTTGGGATCCGTTAGTGTGGATATTTGGAGCAGAGAGATTCTTTTCTTGCTTGGGAGAGCTCTGCTCTGTAGAAGCTTGCCTTCTTGCCTGTCAATTCTGTTATTTTCATTCTCTGACTCCAGGTACCTCTGATACACATTGTATCAGCTTATATTCAAGAAGAGCCAAGATACAAAAAATTTCAGCATCAATATTTTGATTAGGTATGTGGCGTAACAAAGGCATTGATCTAATTAATATAGTTTTCACTAAACCAGTCTTAATTGGCATTCACAGGTGAGGCTGGTTTAGTAACAACTTCCAAGCACACATTGTTCTCCAAATTAAAATGAATAATATGGATGATTAATGAGAAATAATTTTGTATCTGAAGTGTCAAGGAATAAAGGAGCAGAATACTGATGGACTTTCTTTTATTTTTGAAATTGAATAATAAACAGAGGAAAAATAGGTTGCCCTCCAAGAAAAAAAGAAAGAGTTCAAAGTTTACTATCACAACCTGGTGAGGGGTAACAATAAAGTAAAATACAAGAGGTAAGGAAAACAAATAAGGGACACTCACACATACAAAATCACACGAAATGCAGTTTGAGTACCATGCAGAGGCCATAAATTACAGATATTTTCTAAAAATTATGGTACTTTTCTTTGTTATAAACTTGAATGGTTCGTGTTGCATTTATCTGCTGCGAATATTTGTTTAAACATACCCCTGGCAGTTCCTTGGTTCAAAGCATTTCCTAAAGAAAGTATTGTATGCATAATTCTCTTTAGTTTGACTGAATTCCTGATCTGAAAAAAGAAACAAAATCGAAAAAATGAGAGAGAGAGAGAGAGAGAGAGAGAGAGAGGAACCATGTTGCAAAAAGAGGTTTAAGTAAAAAGGAAAAACCATGCCTCTTCTGAAGCAGCATTCACAATAACCAGGCTCTTTCTTAGGTCAGAAACCTACATAAAAGTATCATGGTCAAACTGTTAATAAGTTTAAATTCATTTTTTTTTCTGGTAAAGATCCATGAAAAGAGTAATATATTAACCTGAGAGCGAAATTGAATCTTGAATGAAAAAACTCTGAGCTTGGATTCCACTCGTGGTACTTTCATCAATTCCATTAAGAACTGTAATGAAGAATTTATGAAAATATAATTCAGATTCATGCCAAGAGAGGATAGAAATGCAGTTTCCGCCATTACAGTTAAAACTGTACAAGCAATGCTATAATTTAAATATTCATAAATCTTGCACTAACAGAAGAGATCCAAAATTACAGGCACTAAACAAAAAGTCCTGAAACCCTGTATACCTGTTCACATCTTCCTAACTTCTCCCTTTCCCCGTTATAACCCTGTTCAGAGAAAATGAAGTTGTGAAATTTTGGAAAAGAAAGAGGATACTCGTTATAACTTGAACATAGCATAATATTTAACCATAATTTAATCTCCCAACCTTGAGTAATTCCATTTCCTCTTTTGTTGGACAGAACTTTATGAGGTTCTCAACCTGATCAGAGTCCAGTGCTGAATCTTCCAGTGCTAGTACTGAGGTCTGTGAATATTTCAAACGAACCACTATTAATGAATATAACACACAGAAATGGTTTAAGGAAATAGTTAACAGTTCTATAGATATTTCATATAAAACCAAGACTTCTCATTCACTTTATATCTTCCAGAATCACGACACAGAATAATTATTTCATACATCCTTCCCACAATAAAATAATCATTCCAATCAATTTACTAATATCAAGCCTCATTTAGTGTAGGCTCGAGAAATTAAGATTTTACGATAGATTTTTATTTATTTACTCTTTCAAAATTCACTATTTTTAATTTCTAACAAATGCACCAAAAAATTTGCTTCGTAAACTTACAAAATCATTATAAATATCTTTGAATGAAAATCATATACTGAAAACACACAAAAAAATGCAGCATGCCCTCAGTATGCTACCGTCATACAAGTTTGAAAAAAGTCTTTATGTTAAAACATTCAGATCTTCGTTTATTTCAAAGAGAACGAAAACCAATTTCCAATAAAGAGATAATACAGTTTAGGTGAAGAAAAAATAAATTAAAAACAATAATGGAAAAACAGGAATAGAATGAGAAGAACAAGTATACTGCGCTCTTTATAGTAATGCTATAAAATTTATGCCAACATTCATAGTTCCCAATGAAAACAAATCACTAATATATTCTAGGATGACTATTAATCAAAAGAACAAAGCTATCATTCAATTTTCAGTCAAGTCATAATTCCCTTAGGACTCAATCTTAATTAAAAAAAGCATTTGTTTTTCTTTCCTACATTATTATACCATAAACATATATGTCAATCTTACCATTAAATCGTGCAACGGAACTTTCACTTGGGAAAGCATGATTTCACAGTTATATGCTCGCCTATGCTCAATCTGCAAGGAGTGATAAAATCAATCTAAATAAAAATAAAAGAGGATTATAATTTTGTTGTGACCAAAAACTATATATCAATGAGAAAAAAAAGATAAATAGAACCTACTTTAGGAACTAAGTCACACAGATAAACAGAAAACGCTGATTATTTCCAACATTGCACCATGCAAGTGCACTCTTATACATGAAAATACGTGAAAGGGAGAGACTACCACAGATATTGGTGGTTTTAAGATGGGTTGATGATATAATATAATAGTTTCATACTAAAATTTTCAAAAGTAATTTTGTGAACATTAACTTTGATTCTTCAGTTTGTCAACTCTAAAGGTTTCCTTTCAAAGAAAAGCTGATAGATGAAACCACTTACAACTTTATGGCTGCATATAACCAACATAAAATGACAACCACTGGTTATAAGTACTTGGAACTATAGCACTTTCCTAGTAATTATTTTCTTGCATTTTCCCATCACACTCAGATATAAACAGCTAGATTATGTAAATATCCACAAGCAATCTTAGTGGTACTACAAACTGAAAATAATTACCAGTTGCACTTTTTCAGATTTAGGCCCAGCTGAGCTTTGGACATTTGACTTTTTGGCAATACCTGAAGTTGGGACTGCTGCTGAGAAGAGATTCTCAAGCTCTGACATATCAATCTCTGGGGCCCTACATTTAGATAATAAAAGGAAAGGCAGGTGAGATACGATAATAATAGAAGGATAATCTGTCCTAAGAAATGAAGCATCATAGCCAATCAACATTACTTGGAAGCTTCACCAGACTTCGGTGTCTCTGCCCACAAACTTCCTTGCACTGCTCTAGATAGTTTCAACCAATGCAAAGGCTTCAACCTTTTTGTGTTATTCTTTGAGTTAATTGTTCGCGATAAAACTCCCTTCAAGTTAGTTGGTGAACTAGATCGAGCGTTCACAGAATGAGATCCTGGAAAAGGACTGCCTGATTTCAGACCTCCTTTACCAAAGGGCATTGGAGGAGGTGGAGCAGCAGGTGCTCCAGGTGGAGGTGGAGGAGCAGGTGCACCAGGAGGAGGGGGAGGAGCAGGCGCCCCAGGAGGAGGGGGAGGAGCAGGTGCCCCAGGAGGAGAGGAAGGGGAAGGTGCCCCAGGAGGAGGGGGAGGGGCAGGTGCCCCGGGAGGAGGGGGAGGGACAGGTGCCCCGGGAGGAGGGGGAGGGGCAGGTTCCCCGGGAGGAGGGGGAGGGGCAGGTGCCCCAGGAGGAGGGGAAGGAGCTATAGATTTTTGCAATGATGAATTAGTGCAATTTGAGTAAAGTACTTCACTTGAAAGTGGAGGTGGAGGTGGAGGTGGTACTATAGTAAAACCTGCAACTTGCCCAGAGAAACAAGGAGGTTTAAACCTAGTAGGTTGCTCCTCTTTTAGAGAAAGGGGAGGAGAGGGTTCATCTCTAACCTGTGGCTCCACATTCATATGTGATAGAGGAGAAGGATGGGGTCCAGCTTTAACATGTAGTTCTTTCTTTGGAGGAATAGGAGGAGGTGGTGGTGGAGGAGGTGGTGTAGCTCGAACTCGTCTATGATCATTTAGTGGAGGAGTGGGTGGAGGAGGCGGAGTTGGAGGTCGTGAAGGGGAAGACTCTATTCTTGTTTTAATAGGAGGAATCTCATCCACATTTTTGGAAGAAAGTGAAGGAGATGATTGGGTTGAAGTAATTGTTGAAGCTGAAGGACAGGAAATGGTGTCAGCCAGTGACTTGCTATGAAAAGTAGGTGACAATTGGGTGTCAGGTGTAGGGATAGAAATAGATGAATGACTTCTGTCTTGTGATTGGTGTTTTGATTGCAAAGGCACAACATAAGAAGAAGGGGGCGATTCTGTTTGGCGAGGAGAATCATGAGCTTCTTTAGCACTAGTGGATTGAGGCCTCAAAGGAGGTGTTCGAGGGGAAAAAGAAGTATCGGTAGAAGATACGGCAGGATGAGGTGCTTGCTGTTTTATGTCAAGATTTGTAGGTCTTGTTGGACATTTATTGGATTCCGAGGTCCTTTTAGAAGATCTGGTTGACTCTTGACAAATATTGTTAGGTGTACTAGGTTGCTGCGGAATACCCTCGAACTTGTTGGTATTGTCCTCTTTTCTACTCATATCAGTAACTGGGGGTGTCTTGGTTGAGAATGAAGACCGTACCTCTTCATTCAAATTCCCTTGGGGCGTTCTAGGATCTTTTTCATCTAAGCTATCATTCATAGTTGAATCACTTATAAGTTGGAGAGCATTTAAGGCAACATCTGCCTTGGGGTTCATCCAGTCTACATGGCTAAAGATCTCTTGAACCTTGGCAAATGCTTCCATTGGTAGTCCATCCTTCTCCTCAAAGCATGAGGTCCTATCGGCAACAACTATTGCAGCATCCATCTCTGAGAAAAGGATCTTAATACAAACATAAACCACAAAAATAAATTCACCGTTAGGAATGTACGATCAGAAGCATCATGATTACTGTTGAAAACAAGTTGTACCTCAACTCTAAAATCGTTTGGAAAGTGATCTTTAGCATCCCATAAAATGTCAATTTCATCCCGATTAAGCATCAAAATATTAGATCTAACAAAGGCTGTGTTAAACATGATTCGAAACATCATCCTTTCACGCTCCATGTCACCATTAAAGTTAATAGTCTCAATGACAACGTCACCTTGAATATGGCAATTGATATCAATTTTAATAAGTTCACACTCTCCCTGAAACACAAAAACAAGAAATTGCACAATAAATGCATAATTTATTATATCAGATTCCAGATGCAACTTTCTGGGTAGAATAAATAAGCTGACACACGATGTCTATTACAACAGCAAAATTTCGACAAACAAAAATATTTATTAGAATTTAAAGAGCACAAGCCTGTTCTGAACTCAATTTTCTAAACCCTAGATGCACAAGGTGTATTGAAATATGACTAGGATATCTTAAATGCTGAACATAGATTTTACAAACATATTTCTCCTTTCTTCTTTTAAGTATGTCCCCCTTTTTTCCTTTCGCATTTTTGGGATAATCGCTGCCAAGTGCAGCCTCTTGATCAAAACTAAGAATTATCTTAAATGTAGCTCCCATATTTGTCAAGGAGAAATCAATAACCAATGTTGTTCATCAGTATCACTCTATGAGCATGTGTTTCGAGGTTCAATTCACGTTGCCAAAACATAATTATTAAAGCTCGTTTTGATAAATAGAAAAACAAGTTTGAGCTGCAATTTAGTGGTTTATAATTATTTAAGTTTAAAACATATGAAAAGTGTACAACACAATTTACAAAGTATTCTACAAATCAAAATGGCCTTAAATACAACCAGAATTGAAGGAGGAAAAGAGAAAAAGATATTTTTCCCTATTACATCTGAAAGCCTTTTTGCCACAATTTATGAGATTGCAGGTAATCTCAAGAACAGGTACAGATTTATTTCGGCATTTTTTGGCAAAGTATCAGTAACACCAGAGTCTTTTAATCTGCTGAAAACAATTAATTTCAGGATAGTAGTTTTCATGATATATGTAATCAGTGCATGCCTTCTATAAAGTACTGGCTACCAAATAACATCAACGAATTGTAATATCAAAAACAGGAGACAAAAGAACCCAGAGCAATTCACTTGAAAGCATGAGGCAAATTCACATACCTGCTTAAAGGCCCCAACATTTTTGCCTCTTTTCGGCGTTGAGTACAACATTTTGTGAACTTTATCAGCATTAAAGGGATCTTGTCCATAAATTCTAAACACGGGATGGCAACCACCTTCACTGTCAAAGTTTGGGAAGAGTCTGAGAATGATGCAGTCCAACATAAGTGCCCTGTCCAGAGGAGGCCAATCTAAGGCCACATTCCTCCTGGAAACATACAGCAGATACCTCAGTTGGGAAGGGATAGGATTCAACGGTGACAACAAATGCAAAAGCTCGTGAGGAGCCTGCCTGTAAACCATATCGAGAGTCCTCTGCTCCCCAGTATAAGCCTTTCTATAAATCAACAATGCAGCCAAAATGAAAGCCAAAACAGGCCAACCACCAGGTTCACAATGCATCAGCAACACATTATTTTGCCCAAGCGAGAGCCAGCTTTCACTAGACCTCAGAAAGTGGTGGATGAGCTCCATTTTTAGCACGGGAACACCTTGGTAGTGCAAAGGATAGTCCATGATAGTAATGTCATGCTCAGACATTATACTTGCCATCTGACTCTCGGTACCTTCCTCGCGAAAATTGAAAATAAGAATCGAAGCATCAGGCGAGTTCTCCTTAAGTTGACCAACTATCCCGTCCATGTATTCTTTGTAATTGTAATTCCCTTCTTTCCATGCATCCGTGGTGAAGCAGCAATCAAAAACTACATTCACAGTGAATCTTCATCGTCAATTCCAACAACAATCACTAACTCAACTCCTAATGATAATAACAAGTTAAAGTCATTTCAAATCGAACAAAGTATTCCCTTTGAAATCCAATCCACCCGTCAATGCCACATTTCCAAGCAATCAAACAGACACTAAATGTTCCTCGAATCATATATTTTGAATTGCTAAATCATTTTCCACAAATTGAGAACGAGAAAAGCAGAGAAAGTACCGTGAACTCTCTCGCAGATCTCGAGGAGGCCATCTGGAGGCTTGCGGAAGAACAATTTGCGGAGCATAGCCAACGTCCGCGAAGCTTCAGATTCAGGCCTCACTACCCTTATCCCACGCGATGGATTCGAGAACCACAACTTCTCATTCGGCAGAGCCTAACGTAACGTCACGATTTGCCTTAAGCTTTACGGCAAAAAATCGCTCAGCAGCGCTTTCGCAGAAAAATGCAAGAATGAACGAAATGAGGGTTTGGATGGATTTATCGTCGCTTCTGTTTCTCTCTTTTTGTTTCTCAGTGAAAAGAAAAGGAAAGTTTTGCGGGGGAGATGGGTACGTTCGTTTTATTTCTCGTATCGTATCGTAGCTGAATAACGCCACTGCAGTTGAGGTTACCAACCGACTCACACTCAGCTGTTGCTGACGTGGACGTCCTTCCAGGATACACGTGTACCACGTGATATCCATTACTGGTAATTTAATTACTGTTATTTTCCATTTTCGGAAATTTTCCGTATGGCACGTGTCTCCATCATAGTATGATAAGTGTTCGTTACTTATGTTTAATGTCGGATTTCGTTCTACGTGCCTCAACCTAACACTTACTATCACATAAAACATTACATTATTATTATATTAGAACTTTTTCATAATTTTTATAATTTGGTGCGTTTATTTTAGGTTTTAATACTTTGATTTTTATTTCGGTTGTGGTCTTTATTTGGTTTTAGTGTTTAATAAGATCTCTGTTTTTGTAAATTTTGGTTAATTAGGTTATTTTTTATTGTTTAAATTATTAACAAAACAATGTTCACATTGGCACTATTTGTATAAAGTGTGTTGTGTTTCATTATTTGACCTGTATTATGTGTGTATGAGATGGATTTGCAAATTAATTAAAATTAATGTTAAAATTGTTTTTAGGGTTTGATGTTACCTTAGACATTTTTGATAATTGGGGTAAGGCATAGAGATAGTTTTGTATGTTAAATATTCTTTATCAGTTTGGACGAATGATTCTGTAAAAATGGCATAAAAGAAAAATATGATAAGTTTACCTGTTGAAATAGAATATGTAAACACCAACTTTAAGTGTTCACTTTTTTCATAGATCACAGTAAATAGTTTTCTATATAAATCGATAAAATTAGTTATATTTCTCTAAGAATAAAAATAATAAAGAATATATATAAAAAATAATTATAAAACACTATATATATTTATAGACAATTGCAACATGAAGTTTGAATCCGAGGTTTCATACATACTTCTCAAAATTCCCACATCCTTTTGGAACCAAGTAATTTCTTTATGTTCAGGTGAGGGGACAATTAAATCTTAAATTTTAAAAATTGTCTTAATTGAGGAGAAAATTAAAATAATGAAAAGAGAATAATTAGGATGGGAAAAGGAGTTTTAAGTTGAGAACAGTTAAAAGTATTTCTTGTGCTTGAAGATTTATCATTATTAAAGTTAAAGAAAAGAAAAGATAGTGTGTAGTGAGAAAATGGTCAAAAAGTTAAACAATGAAAAAATAAATTATAGTAATAGTGCCTTGAAAGACAGTAATTTGGACCACCAAACAAACTATGCAGTAGCTAAGTTTCTTAGAAAAGGGAATATGAATTGAGGATTCGTACAAGAATTGAGGAACAACCTTCACTAACACAACTGTCTGTAATGACAACTTTCATGGTTTTGTATAGCACCGACCATTTCAGAGCTCACTACCCTTTTTCTTGCGTTAGACCGTCAGCACTGCTTTCTGGTTTCTTTTCTTTTTCACAAGTTTTGGGAATTCAAGTAAAAGAGACAAAAGAAAATGTTGAGCATCTTATACAAGAAAATACTCGTAAACTCTATGTCTAAGGTTTTGATTGGAAGCAAGGTTCACTCAAGACTTAAAGTAGCTAAAAACCCTTCCTTTAGGTTTGTAAGAAAAAAAATGTCTCAAATTATTTTAGGTTTTTTTAAAAAAGGATCTTAAAGTCTTTTTTAAGTACTGATTGCTTTAGGTTTAAAAAATATATATCTTATTTTTTAAATTTGTTTTACATTTTCCAAACCTTGAGTCGTCGTTAATTAAAAGTTGTATTTATTTATTTTCTAAGTTGAGCTTGTGTGTTGTACGTCTCAAGTGAATGCTCTAAAAATATAAGTGATACAAGTTCATCTCGATAACGACTCACATACCAAAGTACAACATGAATGAAAAATTTCAAAATACGAGGTTTTTTATATTGAAAGTCTTTTTTATCGTGAGTTTGTGTTTTATTGTTTCTGATATACCCTCAAAAGTTCCCAACTCATCTTCGATAAATAAAATAAAATAAATAAATAAAGGCCTGAACATGTGACTTACATCTGTAATTTAAAAAAAATATTTTTTCTTATGTTTTCTTTTCTTTTACATTTTTCCCCTTTTTGTTTTTTCCTCTATATTTTTTTTACAAGGCTCTCACCTCCCTACTATTTTCTTTTATTCCAAAAATACTCTACACCCCCACTATTTTCTTTTATTCCAAAAATACCTTACATCTCTCCACTATATTCAATCATCTTTCTCTTTCTCTCTCCACATTAATGGAGCATTCACATGGCTCATATTTAAACTTGTGATATATTGCAAAAATTTTATTTACACTTTTCCTCAAATAAGTTTGATTCAATCTTATTTTCACTATTCAATATATTTTTTTTCTCTTCTAATTACTTAATAAATGGTAAAGTTTTGTTCTAAATTTCTAGATTTATATATATGTGTGTGTTTTTTTACATTTAATATCTATAATTTGTAACATTATATTATGTTTTAACTTACCGACATGTTTGACTCAAATAACTTAAATAAAGTATTTAATTTATTAGATAAATAATATAAAAATATTATTAAATACTTAAAATATAAAAGAACAGTTATTTGTTAAAGATTTAGAATTTATTTAGTTCTTTCGTCATTATAAAGTTAGTATACATTAATACTATTATGTTTATTATTTTGTATTTGCATCTAACTTTTAAGTTTATAAAATGGAAGTGGTAGAAGCAATAATATTGAAGTTTCCTCTGAATTTTATATTTTGCAATATATCACAAGTTTAAGCCATATGAATGCTTCATTAATGCGGAGAGAGAAAGAGAAAGATTGTTGAGGATAGTGGGAAGGTGTAAGGTATTTTTGAAATAAAAGAAAACAGTGGGGAGGTGTAAAGTATTTTTGGAATAAAAGAAAATAGTGGAGAGGTGTAAAGTGTTTTTGGAATAAAAGAAAATAGTGGGGAGGTGCAGAAGCACTTTGAGTGGTGGAGGGAGCAACACCCATTTTAAAATCATTTGTCAAAATGAGTTGTAACCTGCGAGTCAATCTGGCCTACCACGGGTTTGAGTCGGGTTGGGTTTTAAAAAAATGTAATTTTTTTATGCGGGTTACTTTTCACGGCTCACTTAGAACCTGGCTCATCCGGGTTGAACTCGTGGTGAGTTGGGTTCATCAACCCACCTAATTTAATTTAATTATTTATTATTTATTATTTTGTATTTCAATATTATTAATTAGCATTTTTATTATTGTATTATATATGAAGATAAAAGAAAAGATGTTTTAAGAGAGAAAAATATTATAGATTATCTATTCAATACTCTAATATTATAAATGGATAAGTGATACAAAATTATCAATATTAAAAACTTATTTATTTGCCTTTTGTGCTTGTTTTAGGACTATGCTTGGATTGTATGATATTTTTTATTTATTTAGAATTGTCTTTGGAATTTAATATCATTTTAGAGTTAAATTTATTTAGATTTGAATTAAAAAGTTATAATTTTATTTTATTTTAAAAAAATTATAATTAGGTGTGTCGGTGAACTAACCCGTTTAATCCATCAACTCATGGTGAGTCGAGTCGAATTTAAAACTTTTGAACTCGCTAATAAGTAAGTCGAGTTAGATTGACTAACCAACCTATGTTGAACTAAGTCGAGTCAAATCAGATTAACCATTTTATCAGCTTTAATGTCGAGATGTATTTAAAATGCAACCAACATCGTTGTCGATGGAGCTAGTTGCATAAAGAATATACAGCGCAGTGAAATCCATACTGTTAGGATTAAGGGTCATGTAAAAGCAGATATATGAGAAAAAAATATCTAAAAGAAAATAAAATAAATTCACCGAGCATGCTTATTGGACACATCATCTAAATGTTACATTGATTTTTAATAATATATTTTATACATTAATAAAGTATGAGAAAGTGTTATATGAACTTAAGAGAAAAACAATTATAATTTTATATATAAATTAAGAAACTAAAAACATATTTTACTCAAACTTCAAATTTTTATAATTTGTGATCTTGTAAATATTGAATTATAATATTATATATTATCTTCTCCATCCATCACTGAAAACAAAATATTGAGAAAACTTGCAGTAGTTTGTCAATGTTTAGTAACGTCACAAATGATATTTGATTATGATTTATTTCCATTTATAAATAACAAAAACTTTAACTTACGCATAATACATTACATTTTCTGATATGCTATATTTTTTTCTTTCTAAACGTCATTTTCATAAAAAAAAAAACACTACAAAAAAACATTATCTAAAATAAGAGTATTTCAAGGAAAAATGTAATTAAATCGAGTAAAACTAACCAAAATTTACTTATATCTGCTAGTGAAAGAAAAAAAACGTTTTTACTTGATTAATGGAAATAGTAGGTATTAAAATTTGAACTCGGATTTAATTTAACTTCATAAACCAGTTTATTGGAAGAGAGTTGTCTTCCTTATACACATTTTTCCCATTATATATCTTCCCGTATTTAATTTGCAATAAATTTAAGATAAACTCTCCTAAACTATATAGTATGAGGTGAAAAGGGCTGATGTTCACGAGAATTATTGGAGTTTGTGAGTTAAGAGTGTATTTATGTCACCTTATTTATTACTTTTTTTTTATTTGTTCCTTTTAATTTCAATTACACTTCCTTGATTAATATTTTCTAGGAATAAAATTAAGAAGTTAAATACCTCATTAATATTTGAAGTTTTGAAGAATGTAATTCTTTTTTAAAAAGAATTTGATATTTTTTGTGATAAAATATTTTTTTGATAATTGTTTTAAAAGAAATTGAAATTTTAAAATTTTATAAGAACAATTAAATTATTTTAAATTAAAGAATCTCAAATCCCAAAAAAAAAGAGAGTGGGATTTTAAAAAAATTTATATTCCTAAATTCATGTGTATTCTCTTTATATATTCTTTCCAAATTACTTTTATAAGTTAGTGTGACATATTTAAGTAATATGATTAAAATATTAGTATTCTTTTTATTATTGTTTTACATTC